CTCTCCCCCCCCAAAAAAAAAAGAATGAGAAGAGTGGAAGATTCCAATAAAAATCAGTCAGTTATGGCTTTTGGTTTGTTTAGTTATCACGAATGTTAGATTTTTTTACATAATAATTCTAAATAAAAAACAAAAGGGCACTGTTCTTTCTCTCTTCCTCCCCCTTCCCCCACCTAAATATGAGCGATGTGACACTGTTGTGACCTGGCTTTGTCTGCCAGTTGCTAATATAGCTAATATACCATAGTACCTGTGATCATGGGATGGATTGTAAAGTTATTGACCAGTGCTTGTGAATATGTGGTAACTGTGATTTTTTTGGTGTATAATACTAAAAAAAGTCATTATTTTCTCCAGTTTGCAAGGTGTAGAGGGGTTCAGGCAGAAGCTGATTTTGTTAAATCAGCCCATTAATTTGTCTACTCTAACCTTTTGTTAGCTTCGTTTCTATTCTCTGCAGATTAGAAAGAGAAACACTTTTATTGGTCTCCATGTTGACATTTGTTTGAGCTTCTCTTCTTGCCAATGTACTTGTCTTTATCTTGAACTCTGTTGATTACTTGTATGAATATTTGAATAATAACTGTAATAATATGGATATGTGCATTCTGTGACCCTGCATATTCTCTAATGGATTTACACGGCCTTTTGATTTAAGTGTTTTGTCAATCTTATTGGTCCTTTGTTCCAGTTGAAATATTAATTGTGAGTATTTCCTCTCCCTTTGTCCACAGTGTATGTACGCAGCTTATACAGCGAGGAGAAAGAAATCGTGATCCACCAGCTCCTTCAGCTGTTGCCTCTCCTGCAGGTGGGCAAACACTCTGTCAAGGCTGCGTACCTACAGCTGATTCCCGAGCTGCTGAGTCATACCATACACAATGGAGTGAACATTGAGGAGAGCAGACAGCTGCTCTCTTACTCTCTCATCCACCCGGCGATCACTGCTGAAGAGCGAGGGACCTTCCAGACCTGGCTGGGTTGCCTGGATGAGCGTTTTACGTACAGCGTGCCGCTTAGCAACGGCCTGAGCAGCGGTGGTAGCACCACCAACAGCTCCACGGGAGGCAGCTCCAGCAACAACAGCTTGAGTGTGGGCCTCGGCCCCAGCCACAGCCCCAGCCCCGGATCTTCCTCCCAGCATTCCCTGGCCCACCTCTCCCCGGACTTGTCGGTGTCGCAGGAGTACATCAACACCATCTCCACAAATCAGGGTCTCGTGCAGCAGCAGCAACAACAGCAACAACAACAACAGCAGCAACAGCAGCCTGCCCAGAACCACGGGCACTCTTCACCTTCGCCTGTCATCGGCTCGGGGGCTCATCCGTCATGGCAGCAGTCGCATCAAGGTCAGGGACATTTTACTGGGTTTGACGCCAGTGCTGCTATCAATCCCCCCGTGCCCAACGGCGACACATCTGGGTGTGCCCAGTACATCTCCACGTCAAATGGACACATGGCCCTGAGGGCTACCAACAGCCACGCTGGCGCTTTCGGGGCCTCGCACGGACATATTCCTCTCCACGCCACTTCTTCAGCACCTTCCAACTTCAACTCTATGCCTCCTTCTGGACCTATTGCCCCCCAAGGTTGGTGTCTTGGATTTTTGGATTTAATGTTATTTCTGTCATGCCGTGGTCCATGTCGAAAGGTAGGGTTTTATCTCTTTGCTTTGTAGTACCAGCTGTGCACCTGAAATGGACCAGATTGCTGTACTATATGGTAGTTGTTTTTTTTTCTGTGTTTGAAACAACCATCTGTCCTGTGAGTGGTTGGTGGGCTATGGTATGGTCATCATGTTCTACTTCTTTTTTCCCACTTCACTCATATCCTTTGTGGGTGGTTGGCGGGTGCTCTGGTGTGGTTTGCTTCCTCTTTCTTTTCAAACATCTGTTCTCCTTATGTCCCCTCCTTCTTTTTTATGTTTGTTACTCTCTTGTAACAGCTCTAATCTTCTGGCGCTCATGACCTTATGCAGTTGCGAGCGCCGTAAAACCTCTACTAAAACTTTTCTAAACTCATGTCCTTGATTGTTTTTTTGACGAAATGAGTTTAGTATCACGAGAAGGTGCCTAGTATCTTAACCCATCCACCTATGTGGTCTCATATACATATTAATATATATATTTGTTTATTCACACTTGCGATAGTCTGTCTCGGGGATTGGGATGATGGGATGTTGTCAAAGTTTACCCTCCCATATTCTTTTCGTCACTCACCTCAAGCCCCGCCTTTAGGAAATACTTTCGGGTAATTGGAGGGCGCCATTCATTCAATATAAGTCCTCTTTCTTTACTTTCCCACTGTTGTTTCTGTCTGTCTGTCTGTCTGTCTGTCTGTCTGTCTGTCTGTCTGTCTGTCTGTCT